CTTGTCTTTGAATCATGCACCTCAACACACTTGTGCTCACCTGAATCATCTTCTTCTTCCAAGTCTTCATTCTTAACAAGAATACAGATGTGCTTTCGTAGCTGTCGAGAATTAGAGAACTTCCGGTTGCACTTCCGGCATTCTAAGTTGTCTGCGTGAACATCCACCAGTTCTCCTCCTTCTTCAGGTCCTGGTTGGACACCTTCACTGGGAGCAGAGGTAGCGCTTTCAGCTGATTCTTCTTCAACATAACATTTCTTGGTTGATCCTTTGGGTCTTCCTCTCTTCCTCTTTACTACAAGCAGTTCTGTTGGGAGTAGGGAACAAGAGAGACAGTAACATTAACATTAACCACCTTAGAGGGTTATTCTGAGCTTTAATGAGTGTTTATTGAATGAACTCGCCACAAAGACATTCCAGGAGATTCTCACTACAAACGATTTTATACGGCCAAGTGTTTTCAGATTATATTTATTACAGGGTGGCCACTTAAATTATGAAGCAAACCAAACTATTTTCCAACTTAACTCAAAGACTCATTATACATTCTAGACATTCGTTGTATTAGTGACAAGTCACGGTAAAATCTAAATAACGGAGCTTCTTCCTTATGAATCAGCATTAGCGTTTAACAATTACCACTTTAAGGGAAGATGGAGACTCAAATACCAGTGAAGGCTGGAAATGGCTAAGAAAAATATGCCACTTGCATCTGGAAGAATAAAGATTTGTAAGAGAATGTACCAATCTTTGAGGGGCTAGCACAAAGATGGGGAGGGTATCAACCTATTTTCCAAAGGACCAGAAGACAAGACAAGAAACAATGGATGGAAACTGGGGGCTTTTAAGAAGAGACTGGACAGTCACTTGTCTGAAATAATATAGGATCTTCTGCTATGTAGGGGATTGGACTGAAAGGCCTCCAAGCTTCCAACTCTGTTAATTCTATTTAAAGAATGAAAAACATGGTAAAAATGTTGCAGGCCTTGTGAATGAGCTGATATTTCACTTATTCCAAAACTACCCATCTAAGGTTTCTTTCAGGAACAGATTTTTCAAAAAAGAAACAATTGGGAGCCAAACCAACTGGATTCACACACAGTGCAGGAAGCCAAAATCAGAGTTTGGTTCGGTTTGGCTTAAGCATCTCGAGTTAACCCAACCTACAATCTAGAACTGTGAGCTGTGATTTATGTGAACCTCATCAGCTGAGTTTACAAAATACACCCCCCAAAAAACAAGGCTTGGTGCAACACGTGAACCCAACAGTGTATGGAAAAGCGATATCTCAGGGAGACTTGTGGAGAAAAATGATGGATTAAGATGGCTTAGGTTTTAGTGAAGCAGACATTTGGGGTTGAAAGTGGAACTCTGCCTAAGCATTTCGTAGCCAAGGGAATTCTGGGAGTTGAAGTCCACACGTCTTAAAGTTGTGAAATTTGGAGACACCCCCTCCCCCAGCCTAAGCCACAGTTGGAGCTTTTTATAAGCATGCTGGGTTTGCCTATCTCCCCTTTTAATCACATTTATCGGAAATAGCCTATAAATTGCCTTTTGGCCATTAAAACCTCCAGAAAGATAAATTTTATTACACTGAGTTATTTTCCTCCAACCCGGCAGTGAAAGGAGATTTATGTAAGTTTGAAAACTTAAAAACTTTTTTGTTTTAATTTGGAAAGAAGCAGTAAAGGGTTGATTAGAATGTTGATTTTGGAAAGCATTTAAACAAACTAAGGGGCCAGATTGACTGGAAACAAGATTTTGAAAAAGTTGTAAGCATATTTCCTGTTGTTGTTGTTTTTAAAATCTTATTAAAATATCTGAGCTTAAGAGTCAGAAATCTCTTCCTGGGAAATATTCTGTTTGAAAAGAAAACATGGTAAGAACAGACCTTGAGGTTGAGTTACTAGAGGCAACCAGAAAGAATTAAAGATTATGATTAAAAAAAACTCCCACTAATACAGAGTGGAGAAAAACTATTTTAACACTGGAGGAATTTAAGGATATTTGGCAACAATGTACTCAGAAGTTACTCTTTAGACTGATATAATAAAAATGGCTTAAAAGAGATAAGAGTGCATATTGACAAAGCTTAACAAATGAAACTAGCTGAGATTTCCATAGTCAAAAAGGACTTGCAAATAATAAACCAGAATAATGACTTGGATATGTGGATTTTAACTCAGAAAAATGACTTGGCTATGATAATTTCCTTACTTTGGATTTACGAAAAGATGTGTTATACATATTATGAAGGAATTCAGGAGAAAATAAAAAAAATACCAGCTTTTAGGATATTACCTAAAAGGAATAATTAAAACCCTTAAAACATAAATTAAGGTTTACAAAGTGGGCCTATTTGAGGTTAAACTATGTATGAGCCTCTCTTTTTTCTAGCAGTTTTAATGGGATTTCTTTGAATAGGAGTGAATGAGACTTGTTTATGGATAAGATATAGGAAAAAGAGTTTCATTGTATTGATAGAGAAAGTGAAAAGCTATTATAGCTCAGAGGAGATGAAAAGAAGATGATCAGAAATTAATTTGTGGTGTATTATTTGAAGGGATTAAAGATTAATATTTTCAATTTGTTTTTTTGAGTTGCTCTTAATGGATTTTTTCTCGATTAACTTTGACAGATGAAGTTTAAAGATTTGTTTATAAGACATGGGAGGAGAAGTTTTGTGTGCGTGTGTGTAACTTTTCTTTTTCTTTTTTTAATAAAGTTTTATTTGGGTTTTCACACATACAAAATATAAGTAAAACATCTTTTTTGAAAATAGCATAGTCCCAGGTTGAACTTCTTTATGCAGACACAAAACTCAACTTCATGCTCCTTTTTGTATTCTATTCCATATCTTATACTATTTTACATTTTCTATATATTTTCCCCCTCTTTTAATTTTCTCAATTTTATTTTGATTATCTCATCTCAATTCAAATCATTATATTTATACTTTTGTCTGTTCTGTTTCAATTTCATATTATCTTTTCTCATTAAACAATTTTTCTCCTGTAGTTACTAATTGGAGTATGACACCTTTATATCTTTAAATTACATCCATTCAACTCATTTAAACTTCAATATATACCTTAAGGTTATGACCTTCAATATAATACCTAATACATAACTTCCAATCGAATTCTGCTCGGTACATTCTTATAATACATACTATATTCTTTTTAAAAAATTGTAAATATATGTAATTGTAAACCCTCATTCCATTCTAGTTCAGTTCTATCATTAATAATCATTAAAATCTTAATATCTTTAACATTTCTTTTCAATTAAATATCATACTTCCTTAAAAACACATATGATCTCCATAATTAATTTTTCCCTTATTTCTCTTCACATATGTTTTATAAATCATTAAATATACCTTTTATTACATTTATTGACAAGCATTCCACTGAATTACGATAGCTATTTTATCAGACATTTTAATCATACATTGTTTCATATTTTCTAAAATTATTTCTGTTTCTAATGTAACCATACTATCTTATGTACCTTTGCAGAATCCCTTTTTCCATTAAGTTTTCCCCCATTAACTCTAAATAGGCCCTGTTTCTCTATATTTTGCTTCTGTCCTTTATAACTTCTTTTCCTTTCTTTCTTCCCTCTCATCTTCTCCTTCCCTCCCTTTGTCTCTCTACTTCTAATTCTCTCTTCTGCATTTCCCTCTTCTGTTGCTTTCTAATTTTATACTTATTTTTCACTCTATTTTTTTTTTGGGGGGGGGATTGTTTTTCCCAATCTTAAACTTTCCATTCTCTTTCCCCTCTTTTCCTTTTTTCCCCCCATCTAAGATTACTTGTTCATTAAAGATGGCTTCTTCTTTGTCGCAATCTTCTTGTTCTGCAGGCATTTCTTGTTGTTTCTCATAATTCCAAATCTCCATTTCTAAAAACTGAAATACGAAGCCAAAAGAACCTCTCCCTTCTTGTGCATCTTCTTTGTACTTTTTAAGGTCCATTTTCAGCTCTTCTAAAAGTGGAGTCATTTTAAATAGTTTTAAACAACCACCCGATTGATTTTAGTCATTCAAAACAATAACCAAGAATCCAGAAATCATCAAGTAATCCAGATAGTCCCGAGTTCTATCTTCTTATTTCTTTTTTGACTTTCTCTTCCTGGGGTTTTTGTTGCGATATTTCAGTTAGAATGTATCTTTTGGAAGTCTTGTTGAGATTTTGCTGTAAGTTCTTTTTAATTCCAGGCAGTCTCCTCCCTTCCAGATCCTACACTTTTATTCTTTTTCTCTCCTTTCCTATTTTCAAAAGCTTTTAATTATCCAGAAATCTTTATTATCCCTTTGACTTTTTATTTTCAGCATTAAATGCCTATTGATGTCAAAGTGGATTTTTTTTCCAATTTCTTGCTTAAGTCTCTTAGCTGCCAGTATAGGAAAAGGAGAAAAAAAAAACCAAATCTTTTCCCTTTTCTCTCTCCTTCGCAGCTTAAAAATCTTCTTAGGGAACAATGTTATGGTTGTTTAATAGTTTCAGTTCCAGGGTACCTTATTTGTTGCTTTTGCTGTTTGACCCGGTCAACCAAAACTTTCTCCTCTTATCTTCCTCCTGCACATTCTTTTCTGGCCGAGTTCTTCTTTGAGGTGGCCATTTCTGACCACCGCCTGCAACTGCCTTTGGAAAAGGGAGTAATGGCCAGCTGGGGAGGAGAGATGCGGCTCTCCTCAACCCTGCAGGCAGTCTCTCCCCTATTCACCACCTCCACGGGGTGCCTTAGCCCCAAAACCAGCTGGCTCGGGGCGCTCCAGCGGCGAGCACAGATCGAAGCCTCACAGAGACGAGGTTTCGGTCTGTCGCGGAAGAAGCTCAAACCGGACGTCTCGTGTGTGTGTATCTTTTCCTTTACACCTTACCGAAACATTTTCCTCTAAATATATTATATATATATAATATTTAGAGGAAAATATTACAGTAAGGTATAAAGGAAAAGAATTATGAAACTGATTTATTTGTTTAAAGTTAAACTATTGGAAATGTTTAGGCTTATTGTATTCTTGCAAAATCACTATCATCTTATCAAGATTTTTAAAAGAGAAATTTAGCTAGGAGCTGCATATTCCCCCATGCTCCTTTCTTAAGTTTCAGCCAGTGTTCAGCCATTTTAATTTGAAACTTGATCAGGGAACAAAGAAGATACGTTTTCCTCTATATTTCAATACAAGGTTATAAGAAAAATTCAACAGAAATAAACTCCAGATATTTTTCAAATTCAAAAAATACAGAAATCCAGTGTGAGAGTCCAAAAACTCTTCACACATACACCCATACCCTG